GGCTATAAACCTGGGTGTCTTCAGGCTCCTGAGGAATATTCTCATACCAGGAAATCAGGAAGACTGTTTGCCTTAGACAGTGCCATGCATCCTCTGTGTTACTCATACAGTTTAGGACTAAATTCAAGGGATAATTAATTTTGTGTATATTTTAAGGCAATTTTCTGTGCACTAGACAGCAAGAACAGAACAGCCTCTCCAACTGACCATCCCAAACCCCACAATTTGTGAGGCTGGTCTGATAATGTCATTGGGTGGAACTTGGTGAGGTGACCCTAAATAGCAGTACTAATGGTAGTACTTTCATGTACCGCTGGGAGTTGTGCCATGTGGCAACCCAAAATAATGCCTTATGATAAAAGGAGGTTAGTGGAGGAACTAACTAACTAAGGAGAGGAATGGTGATGAAAGGAATGACTGGGATGAGGGGTGGAAGGAAAGCAGGGCTGGGAAGGGTGGGGTGAGGGGAAATGAGAGCTGGAAAAGGAGCCGAGATGGAGAATTATGGGTTCATAAGAGGACAAGCAGGAAGGGGGTTGGGGGGGGGTGAAAGGGAAAGCCAGAGCAGAGGAATGGACGGAAAGCAAACACAGAGAGAGAGAGGTGGGGGCAGGAGCTGGTGGGGGAAAGAAAATCCCCCTGCCTTGAAATTCCTTGTCATTCCCTCTTTAGTCTTCTATAAAAGTAATGGTAACAAATTTCTATCTGGGAGAATCTCTCTCAGTTCATTAGTAGTAAAAAAAGTGGGGCCCTCATAGCCTCTTCCCTCTTCCAGTTTGGTGTAGTGGTTAAGTGCGCGGACTCTAATCTGGGAGAACCGGGTTTGATTCCCCACTCCTCCACTTGCACCTGGCTGGATGACCTTGGTTGTAATGTACTGTCGCCATTACCACGTGTAGTGCATTCAGCCTGACATGCCCGGACTTGCCCGGGCTGACCAGGCAATACTCCTCAGTAGCTTCAGTCGAAAGACAAAGGATCCGTAGGATCCTAGCCGGCCCAATCAAAGGGCCAGCTTCCCAGCCGGGAGACCAATGGTCGCCCGGTTACTGTAAATAGCCTATCGGGAGTAGGGGGTGTGTTTAGGTGTGCTTGGTGGCGGGTTTTCTGAACGCATATAAACCGGCCTGCGAGCTGGTTTCTTTGTCTTGTTCCTGATCTAATAAAGTACTCTTGCTGAATCACTCCACGTTCTGAGTACTTTTCACTGGCGACGAGGATGGGATCTACGACCCCATGAACAAGACCCGGACGCCAACACGAGTACCGCACCGAGCCTGACGCCGAGACCTCTCCGGGAACCGCGCAACTTCGCATCCCAGCTCTCCGGCAACTGCTCATCGCTCCGCTCCCGGCTCCGCTTGCACACTGCTGACCCCTCGAGCAGCAGCATCGCTCTCCACGCTTAGCACGCTTCAGGCTAAGCTCGCTCGACCAGAGCGCCCGCCTCACCCAGTCCTCCGAGCGTCCACGAGCATCCGCGGAAATGTCGGAGCAAAACGCC